CAAAAATAAAAAGAATCATTATTTTTGGTCACAGGAAATTTATACCTTTCTTACTTATGTTGGTCGCAGGTAACATGGAGCTATCATACTGATGCCCTTTTTTGATAATTGTTGGCTGGCAACATCATATGACCAAAAATTAGACCTAGAGTAACTTCATATTAACATCATTTTTTCTTTGTGCAGAGACGTCTTTAAGACTGACATTAATGTGAGATTCTTCGAGTATTAATATCATGACACATAGAATAATTTCAGTTTAAAATCTCTTAACTATACTTCACGTAAATAAGTTATAATTTATTTTATAATACTATATGTGGAATTGTATGAATTGACATCTCCCTTTCCTTACTGGAATGTTCTTTGAATAATGATTTTATGTGATTCAATTCACAGATGGCGTTGCTTACAACTAGTCCACTTGCAGTAGCTACAGGTTTACAAATATTCGTTAATAGATAAACAATATAGAGCAAACGCATCTTACAGACGGAGAACTACAGGTCTCGACCAGATACGAAACAACAACAATATAGAGCCCTGAGATAAGAACTTTTTAGTATATTTCTGTAAGCTTGCAAAATTTATTCAACAAACATCATTTACTTTTACAGTCTGTTATTTAGACGACATCTTATATAGTGGAATCTAGATTATTAAATTTGTCTTCATATGTTTAATTTTAGTGACACAAATTTACATCATAATTCCATAATGACGAGACGTTGCATACAAGTTATTTACAAAATAGTAGCCCGCCTGTGATTACTGATTATAGAGATGTGTCATTCGTTCATTCATTTTACAAGAACCCGAGCGATCAGTGATTGATTACCAAAATGATTGAATTTTTTGTATCTACCATTCGCTCATTACACGCGTAGTCCGCCGTGCCACCTCCACTACCGGCGACTGCTCCAGCTCATGGTCGACCTATCTATAATAATAATAGTAATAACAAAATACAAAAACAAATTACAATTTTTGATATAAGTACAAGAATAATAAAGCAATCTATCACGAGTGAATGATGAAAATTCATGAATCGGTCATGTGCGAATGGAACAATGAAAAGATAGACACACACTGCCCCAGTCGAGTATAGTTCAGTTATGAGTTATCATTCATATAATTATTACGTACATATCACGTTCACGTATCACCTGATAGACCAAGGCGAGAACAGACGATTAAAGTCTGCGATTGACCAATTCCGCTGAAACATGATTCTATCATTCAAATATTCAAGTGATCGAATCATGACACATCTCTACATGATTAGCAAGTGGACATTAATTTTATATCATCCTAGTATCGTCTTGAGATTGTGACATTTTGACTTCATATTACTGTACATTAGATGTCTTTATGTCATCCGTTTTATATCACCTACATCTAAAATATGATAATAATGTTCCATTAGTACGACACAACCTATTTGTGGTAGAATCTCTATTAAAACAATTGGAAGCAGTAACTTAGGATCAGTCTCATGAGAAGCTGCTTAAATGTTGTGTGATATATAAAACGTGCTTATATCTGCAAATAGCAACTATGCCATTACTTACTCAAATATACTGTTACCCATACTATACGCGATGGAAGAGAGAGAAAGCACAAAAAAATGCATCGCCTGTTTGCTTCAATACATAAGCATTTTCTGCCAACTGGTTTTTTTTCTAGATGGGCAATACCTGAATTAACATTTTATTACCAAACTACCATTGCTTTTCTTTCACAACCGGCTGCCTCACATTTATTTTGCGCATCTCCAGAAGATTTGGAGAGCTATAGGATTCATATGTGTCCAATAATTTAAACAGCAAGGTCAAATATTTTGTTTCGAATTAATGATTGAAAATTACCGTCATGTTGCCATTTATACTCTTTATTTTTAATTAAATAATTAATATTGATAAATCATTGTGTTGTGAGTCATAAAAATAACAATTTATTAAATTACTAACCTCAACATCTTCTTTACTCCATTTAATACGAGGATTAGGATTACCCGTGACTGCACATCTCAAAATAGCTTGGTCTCCTATAAGTGCTGATGTCTCTGGTTTGAATGACTGCGAGTCCACTTTAGGAGCTTGAACTAAAATATAAATAGTAAATTAGTCCATGAAAGAAAAAGAATAAGTAGATCTTGTTGCTAAGTACTCTGTGTAGAGTCTAGGTACAGGATGATCCTCTTAAGATGGACACTAATTTTTCTGAGTTTATTATTAAGATAAATGAAAATTTCAAAAACTAGTAACATATACTTTTTGCCGCAGATACCAAATAATTAATTTTAGTGCAATATGTATTTAAAACTTAATATTAATATTACTGCAAAATAAATCCAGTTTTTTGTTTACTTTTAATGTTTGTATTTAAAATAATATGTATTTTTGAGTATATTTCAAGATAATTACATAGATTTATAAATAAATAAATAAAATAAATTTTAATGAGGTATACGAATATGTAGAAACATATAGGGTAAGTAAAAAAATGTTCATTCATATAATCACTGAATATAGTACAACTGATTCTACGAATACCATACAGGATGTCAAAATTTCTAAAAAATGATTTTTAACCACTGACAAAACTTTCTCAGCGGATTCGAAATGTATGGCAAAAATTGCATGTTACTAGTTTTTAAATTTTCATTTATCTTAATAATAAAATGTTCTAACACGATAAGGGTCATAAACGCTGGTTATGCCTGAAGTGCATACAAAATTTTATGTATGACCAGTCTTAATTAATACATATATGTCGGCTACTTGCAAATTCTACATAAAAATTGTTAGTCTGTTAAATTTTGATATTCCAAAAAAAAGACAATCGTATTGTCACAGTGACAGGTAGGAATTTGGTTTTAAACTTATGTTAAAAATAAATGTAAGTAACTAAGCAATAACATAAATAAAGATGGCCATATTGTAATTTTATGGCAAGAATTATTTACAATCATTTTGTTGAAGTGTTTTGTGTTTGTCAATTGAACTGGAAATAGAAGAGAATGAAAATTAATTTTCCTGTACCCAACCAGAAATTTCCGAAGCACCTAATATGTTGCCATAGAAGTCGAAAATGTATGAAAAATAAAGCACTAGGCGGCTGTAAAGTATTTTACGGCCCGGCGCACAGTGGGAAATATTTCAAGGTCGCGGCCAAAATTCAAAATTGTCAACAATGATATTTTCTATTGTAACTTTTCTCCCAGGTAGAAAACACTCCGGCCTTCCTAGAAACATGTACAATAACAACACTATGTGCCGTTACACCCCTATTATAAGGCGCAAGTAGTGCTCTTAGTCAATGCTTAACTTTTAAGCTCGAAACACCTAAAATTTTCAGCAAGTTCGTGTTGTGATATTATTGTTACCAATTAAGTTGCATTCTTATTTTTTTTTGTAAATCAAAGACTAGTGTTTCTAGTGTGAGAGAATCGCTATATTACACCACTTGTGTCCAACAACATCCAGATAAGATACATTAATCTTAGTAGGTGCAAAAATCTGTAAAACGATTGTAAGTTTCAATTTACGTAGACTTACAAAACCGCGGGTGCGCGAGGGTGCGGAGATTTTATGTTGAGGTAGTTCTATGAAGTATCTATTGTCCTCATGCAAAAAATTAGCTGCATTGGTTTGCCCATTTTCCGGTAATTGCAATTTATCCATTCAAATGCATAGCGCGAGCGCGATGGTGCCCATACCGGCCGGTCGCTCGGCACACCCCACCGGCGCCGTGCGGTAGCATGGCTTTGCTGCTATTACAATACAGTGCGATTCATTTGCCTCTCTACAAACTTTGGCAATGAAAAGTTGATTTAATGTCTTGAAGAAATGTTCACATAAAAGAAATTATGGCGCTTTTAAAATTTTTAGTTGAAGAAACGTAATAGTTATAATTCAACAATTCAAAATTTGGTAATCATCATTTTAAATAATCACCTATCAAAAATAGTTTGTTAATGCCCCTACATTTTTCTCAAATTGTATAATGACCGGCGAAGTGCATATTACAAGTTTCAAATTTCTTAACTTTTTTTGTTTTTTCGCACCTCATATCTCATCCTCGAGGGCAGATTCAATTTTTAAAATATTTCTATCATAATCACCGTAATATTATGAGACGATTTGGTGAGTTTCAATTTTTTTGACGCTCTTTTATTTTTTTTCATCCCTTATATCTCACCCCTGAGGGCAGATGGACTTTTTTAAATATTTTTACTGTAATCCTCTTGGTATTCCAAGACGATATAGTGAATTTAAAATTGTTCTGTCATTCTTTTTTTTTCACCCTTATATCTCACCCCCGAGGGCAAATTGAATTTTTTTCAATATTTTTCCCATAATCATTTTCACATCCCAAGACAACCTGGTGAGTTTTAGAATTTTGGCCGCCGACATCTAATTCTATCCCACTGTGCGGCGGGCTATAAAGTGGTATTTTAAGCCCTGAAACCAAGTATATAAAGTATTATAAAGTGACCAATGAAGACCGGTCGTACATAAAATACTTTATATAATTTATAATAACTTAATATTTGTCAAAAAATTCAATATAACATTCAATAATTCAAATGAAATATTTCATAGTACATCATTGCTAAACATTTTATATTTAAAATTATTAATAATATGTTTTTCTAAATTAGACACTGTAAACTTGCATCTTTTATTCCTTAACAGATATTTGTATAAAGAAAAACTTCATTCAACATCTGTTAATGTAAGTGGATAATATTTTAATAAAGGTGCTATATTTTTATTTATACCTTCTGTAATATTGTCACCTTGCATATAATCACATATGGTTTTCAACTTTAATAGATCGGGGATTTTTTCCAGAACACTTTTAAATTTGTGCCAAATAGTAACACCAGATGGACATTGTAAGTTACTTATTGACGATTCTATATTGTTTAAAATTTTCTTGTCAGTCACTTAAAGTTTTAAACAATGTAGAATCCTGAATAAGTAACTTACAATGGCTTCATGGTCGAGTGGTAAGGACACTTGCCTCTCACCCTGGAGTCCCAGGTTTGATCCCCAGGTGGGGAGCTAGGATTTTTTCTAAACCAGAAATTAATTCTTGTTTTTATTTAACTACTGGAAATGAAATTACAAAAATATGTACTTACGACCAACTTCTATTGGTTTTTCTGTGTAAGCAGGCTCAATCGGTTGTTGAGTAACTAGTTGAGCTGGAGGAGTAGGATCAACACAAGCAGTACCACATCCCGTTGAGCAGCATTTTGAATGAAGAGTACAGTCAGCGTCGGTTCTGCATTCTTGTTCACAATTTGTTTCACTAGGCTCTAGATTTGGACACTCTCCTGGTTTGTTGCCTAAATATTAAACAATATAAAATTTAATCTTGAATTTAATAAATTTCATGACTGTTGTTTATAATTTTGTTAGTATTTTGTGATTTTTCTCAAAATTAAACTAGTAGTCTAGCGGTTAAAATAGGAATTTATACTACTTGTCCCACATCAAACTGTCCACAAAGTTCCCAACATTTCAAAGACCACCTGGATAATTATGTAATAGTTGCTTGTAATTATCAATTCAAATTTGTTAATGCCGTATATGTGTCTCGGGTTGAATAGGACCCGCTTTTTTTGGATAAATTCATGCCCCTCCATAAACCAATTCAAATATGCTGCCCCTCTTTCAACGTAATTTAAGATCTCTCTCCAGTCAGCGAGAAATGAAAGAATATTCAAAATAAGATGATAAAAAGTTAATTTTCCCATTAAAATCAAGTGATATTGGCACAGAACATACATATTGGATGTGTTATTATTTTTCTAACAGTTTACTTACTCTTTCTACATATTGCAACAAACTCTGCATCCAGATTGGAGGTTTTATTTCTGTTAATATCTATGGCACATTGTTCATCTTCTAAACATTCTACACCTCTACAGGGATCATCACACTGACATCTGTTACAGTCGTTTTCGTCAATATATGCCTCTATTCCATAAGCACATCTTAGTGCTGCACATTCATCAAATACTTCTTGGCATCGATGAGGTGGCGTGTCAGTAGCCTCAACTACAGTGCCAGCTAAAATATTCAGGTTAAAAGTATTCTACAAATTAGGAATTTGACTATAAAATATTAGCTTTAGCACTGTCAATGTACTGGGTCTTAATGCTGCAGTTTTGCTAAATATTAATAATGAACAGCTATATACACAGCAAATTGCAAAGGTGAAAACGTGGCTAGGTGGCATTTTTAAAGAATTGTTAAAGCTGTGGTGGTGCAATGTAATGTGAGTTATGATAACTTACAAGACTCAGTTGGTGGCAAAAGATCTCTACAAAAATCAATGCAATATTGGAAAGATTTAAAATTGTTGAAATTGCCACCACAACCAGAATAAATGAATGCAATACATTCTCCACGTCGATCATCAAAATACCATCGTTTATGGTAGCCTTCCTCACAAGAACCTTGATCAACTGGTAACTGGCATATTGCTATAGAAAAAGAAGCATAATGTGTTGTAGAAATGTTGAGGAGTTAATAAGAAAAAGGTATTTAAAAGCAGTAAATAGGATAAATAAAAGGTAGGTTCTTTTGGCCTCGTTATCTGTTAATCTAGAAAATGTTAGTAACTTTTACATATACAAGATGCGACTTAAAATGCTAGAATTATTTTAAATATAAGGCCACAGACAGGTGAGATTAAATAGTATACTACTCTACTAGCAAGCCTTGTCTTTCTTTACATTATGAACATTATTGAGGGGTGATTCACTAAACACATTTTCATGAAGCTTTTGGCCACATTTTCTGAGATTACCTCATTTTTAGAATATTTATACATATTTTGATATTATAAACATGTCACGGTGATAGGTCATAATATCACTGTTATGTAATGTTGACATACTCAAATTTTGAAATAAATTTATAAATGCTAGTGTAGCAACTAACTCTTTTGGATTTATGTAATTTAACTAATAAAACCTAATTTTTGAAAGTGACATATTTTTGGAGGGGTAAAATGAAGGGTTGTTTTTTATAGTAGAGTTAAAGCTCTACATAGCGTTCTATGGTAGCAATTAAACTTTTCTTATTTTACGCTAAACAAACGCATTTTGCTTTTTATATCATCTTTTTATCTTACTGTTTAGGAGATACAGCATTTTGTTATCAAACTAAGTAAAAAACTTATAATAATAATATAATGATAGTTATTTACGCATTAAAGGTATAAAGAAGCGTTTATGGCGCGGGCCGTGAAAATTAGATCCTGAGGCGTTAGTCGAAGGCTCTAACACGATCAGGGGCCATAAGCTCCTGGCAGCCAGAGGTGATTTGCAAATGGTGACATTTAATGTGTGACATTAATTTGTTTACATCGTTTTATTTTGCGTTTTAATTTCTCACAATTAAAACAACATTTTCAATTTTCCTTAACATTATTATACTTAACATATAAACCCCTATTTACAAGTCATGCGTATAGACGGCCAGATTCTTTAAAAATGCATGACAACACTTGAAGTTGTGCGTATTAGTAAGTCTAATAGTATTTATTAATACGCAAAATTGAATGCAACTTTGTGTATCTTACTTTTATTTGCAGTATTATATTTCATTGATGCAAATACCTAATTAAAAGATTGATAAAAATAAATTTGGTTACCTGTACTTGTAATATTAGGTTTGGTTTCCTCGTGAGTGACACAAATATGTTCGCATTCCTCATTCGAACTAAACCTATTTCCATTTCCTTGACACCCCCAAAAGCGAATTGTTCACAGTGACCACTGGACTTATCATAGTAATATTTAACAAAGTAGCCTCTGCATGGACCTGGATCTCTTTCCATATTACATACATCTAAAAAGTACATCCAAAAAGAAATAAAATAATGTTATAATACCATTAATATGTTCCATTGGAAGAAGTTAAGTTTGTGGAGTTGTGAGAAATAAGCGTTCATTTTGGTTTATTATAAATATTTAAAAAACTAATTATATAATATTTAAAATGGTTTTAGAACTTTGCTGATATTCTAACCACTGTATTAATAGAAAATTTTAGTTAATTTTTATTGTAATTGCTGCACTGACGAGGAGCAATAACTATGAAACACGTGTCCGACACTGCATAGTTGTTTTTTTTTGGTGTATGGCACTAGTGCTTTATTCTAATTATGACACTAAATTTAATATTACCTTGTCCTCTAAAGCTGCCACACTGTCTTTCACACTGCTCCTCACTGTTAAATCTGTTATCATTACCACCACATCCAGTATATGTAAATGGAGAACATTTTCCTGTATCCTTATCAAAGAAGAAGGCAACATAATTTTCAGTACAATTTCCAGGATCCGCAGGTTGATAACACATGGCTATATCACTTGGTGGAGCTGTAGTTGTGAGAATATTAAATAAGAATGTTTATACAATAGTTACTTTGAATATACCTGGTGGTGCTTGAGTAGCAGTAACCTGTGTTGGAAGTACTTTTTTACATCTCTGTTCGCATGAAGATTGGTCTTGGAATCTATTATAGTTACCTCCACAGCCACCAAAATTGAATGGTAAACAAGAATCATTAGAAGGTTGGTAGTAAAACTGGAGGTATTCTCCATTGCAAGGCCCAACGACAGGCGGTAGTGTGCAAAGATCTAAAAAAGATTTAAGATAAAAGCAATTTGAAAGGTACAATTTGCTAAAGATGAAGTATACAAGTTTTATAATTACCCTGTGCTGTTCCACAATACTGTAGACATTCTTCAATAGAATTAAAGTTGTTTCTATTCCCTTCACAGCCTCCATACGTAAAACTTTTGCAAACGCCATCAGTCTGATCGTAATAATATTTAACAACACCACTTCTACAAGGTCCAGGATCACTGGATAAGAAGCACATATCTAAAAATTTTATATTATAAGTTAAGAAAATCATTTGAGAATTGAAAAGCTTCTAATTTACTTGTTTGGAATGGTTCAACAATGCTTTCGGTTGGTTGTGGTTCAGGCCGCTCCGTCTGTTCAAGCTGTTGGGGTTCTTCAGTTTTTCTTAGTTCACATCGTTCTTGGCATCTCTGTTGCGTTTCAAAATTGTTGCCATTCCCACCACAACCACCATAGTAAAATTGCCGACAATCTTTCTTCTTGGTATCATAGTACCAACGGTCCACATAATTTGCACAATTTCCAGTTTCGGCAGGAAGATGACAAGTATCCTTAACTAAATATCACAAAAGTTAAATTTTCACCAATTTTTGTATAAAATTTATAGTTACTTGATTTGACAAAAGGAATTATATTTTGCAATAATTCAAGTAAAAAATAAACATGTACCAGTCACCCAAGAAACATATATTTCTTTAACTTTCAACACAATTTGCAATAGTACTATCGATTATAACATGAACAAAGCATCTAAAGTTAGTTTTTATGCAAGACTTTTAAATAATTTAAATTTAGCTTTTCATGCAACTCACCAATTTCCATTGGGCAATCATTTTCGCATGCCTCTTTACTATTGAAGTTATTCTGATTACCATTGCAGCCAGAATAATAAAATGGAATACAGCGTTTTTCAGGTGTACTATAATACCATCTAGGTAGTCTTTCCGTGCAATTGCCCTGACTCCTTGGTAGCGAGCAATGATCTAATAGGGTACAAGCAGTTAAAGTCTGTCCGCTTTACGTTTACAGTACTTCCGAGATTGGTTAAAACAGCCTCACGCGTCACGATTTCGATTTAAATCGGTTGCCACTCAAACAATTCATTCTCAGTAGCAAAATTTCTCATTATTTGTCCACTATGCAAGGCAAAATAATATTGAACTGAGACCCGACCAGTTGACCACAGGCCACAGAGAGCCAGTTAAATCCACAGATTGATGGAACGAGTAACCGACCAATGGAAGCGAGCAAATAGCTCCATATCTAAAATCAACGCTGTACACTTAAAGCGGACAGATTTTATTTAGTGTAAATCTACCCTCTACATAGGACACTAAACTGAAGCAGAATATCAGATATTAATTAAATATTAGTGTCGAACCATGCATGTTGATATA